AACTTGAAGACTTTTTGTCCCAATAAAGTTGCATAAAAACATACAAGTACAGTACATACATGTACATGTGACACACATTCTCAAAAACAAGCCGCAACCAAGCTAAAATCCAAAGATACATGTATGTACACGTGTGTACATGTACACGTACATGAATACATGGGTATGTACTATTAGTACACGTAGGAAGCATGATGGAAACCACAGTTCCACTATAGCACTTGAGTTAATTTGATACAGTGGCATACAGCCCATGTAGAATATCATGTCCTGGTTAACTGCTACGAGGAACAAGGAAGGAACTGAACTAGAGTGTACATTTACAATATCTTTGGCTGTCATGCTTTTGTGTCGTATCATGCCATTACAGTGTCATCACTACAACATCTTTTTCCTCACTGACTGCCCTAACCTGATCCAAAGAGTATTGGGAAATAAATGTCTTTTTCTTCCTCTTATTATTAGTGACTGACTGAAATCATCAATAACATGATGGTTAGAGGCTACAGTAAATTGTACCAGACAACCACTGGTAGCAGTAATGGGGTAACATGTTGCACATACCGGAACATACAGAAAAGTATGATGCAGATTCCAAAACACCATGAGACAGCTAAAACTTCAAATTCACCGTCGTGAAATTTTGGGCCACAAACGGACTTTAAAAAATTGCTTTATAATGGTGAACAAAGAGATAAAATTAAAAACAAGTGAAATGTCAGAGAGTAGAATAATATACATACACAAAGAGCGAACATGTACATGTACATGTATGTGCAAAAATTGACAGCAGGAGTGAGAAAGGTAATTATACAACAAATGCATACATATAAATCCCACTCATCTGATTGGTGGATCATTGATCACATGGCATGGAATGACCAGTATTTGTACCGTTCAAAAAATGTATAACAACTGCGCATTAGAAATGGATAACAAACACCTTCAGCTCCTAGTGGTGGAAGTTTCTTTACATGCTTTATGGCAAAACAACAAGCAATCGAGGCATCAAGCTCCCCTATTCAATTTTATGAAATATATGAGAACTTGTTTTTGTACAACATTACTCAACGTTAAGCAACAGATAAAATGCTGCCAAACAATTCAGCAAGCTCGGAATATCATGTCGAAAAATTAATGGATTCACAACTGGACAACTTCCAGTTTGAATCAGACCTTTCATTTGTCACCTCATGCAATTATTCTTACCATCACACTTAGAAAATTCATAGTTTGTTTAATACAACACCCGTATAAATACAGCTTGATTAATTACAATATTTCACGAGGTGTAGTAACCTAAAGATATATTTTTAAATGCCCAAGACTGGCTTTCTCTCTTGCTTTTATTTATCATATTGTTTTCAAATATTGGTGACTGGAATTCACTTGAGCTAATGTACATGAGTAGACTCGACTCGAATCACTACATTACAATGACTCAACTGAGTCACGTTACGACATAACTCAAGCGACAAGTCATAAGAATTAAAGACTCATTAGCCCTAACCTTCCCCAACCTTACAGAATTAAACAGTAGTAAAGTGTTTAATTCCGTGGGGATAGATCTGGCAGGCCTATAACAGCTGGCTTTTGCATTGGGTTTGGCATAACTCAGAAAAACAAAGTCCAACAGCCTCTGTGCACTAAGTCCCATTGTGTGAATAGGGAAGGTTAGGGCCAGCAACCCTTGGGGGGTTAGGGTTAGTACAACTCTGGCATGTCCATGTACACTGGCGAGCGAAAGTTTGCCCGCACCCTCCGTGAAAATTTTCTCGAGTTCATTTTTAAATAAAAATTACCTCCAACATTA